ATTGGAATCGTGAATGCCATGAAGCCAATAAACTGAAGAAGGACGGGGTGGACGAAAGCTAACAAAACAGCACAAGCAAGGGTGAGGCAGCCAGCAACTGCTTATGGCGGAAACGAGCACTGGAAGGCGTGTTTGGGGCAGGGACTGCGTGATTGATTCCACGAGTTCCACCCAAATTTCACCCTATTACTTGCTTATGCTGGATCCAAAGAATGCTGTAAACAAAAACCTTTTTGCCGAGGACCTTTTTCGAAGACTGAACTGTTAGATCCTTCCTGCCACCTGCAAGGAAGCCTAGGCCGCGTGTTCGGGGGTCCAGGGAAGATCCAGTCTATGTTTCCTTGGCATTCCCTTTGCATCCCATGAATTAGACCCTTGACTTGGTGTTGACCCCTACCCCACCCGCGAGAGGCAATCTTTCTGCTCCCGACTGGGGCTGCCTTGGCCTTGCGTGACGGCCCATGGATACGTCCCTGGAGGTGGGGGCTTTTGTTTTGTGCCCCTTCAGAAGCTAAATGTGGGTTTGTGGTTTTTGAGGGTACCTTTTGTGGGAGACCAAGCAGCAAGCCACCATTTATAAGAGCGCCGACAGATACCCATGTTTGTGAATTCCAGGAGCATCATGTGAAAAAGGGCAAGTGCATGGTTTAGTTGATTTCGTTGATGTCGCTTGTTCCAGTCTTGCCACAGTTCTTGTATTCTCTTGGAACCGTTTCCAGGAAGAAGCAAACGAAGGGCAACCCTGAGTTGGACAGCACATTGGTGCTGATTTGTGCGCGCCGGCCGGGTGCTCCTGTCTGAGCACCTGAACTCTGGATTTGGCGGGTGTTCCTTTTCCGCACTCACAGCAACTGTAAGTCGCCAAGCAGAGCTGACAGAAGCAACATTTGCCGAGGTGCAAAAAAGAGTCTGGCTTTTGACACTGTTTGTCCCAAATGTAATGTGGTGCTCAGACAGTTCGGTAGTGCTTATTGCGCGCAGGCATTGTGTTGGCTTTGCCTCGTGCTTTATTGAAGCTTGAAGTAGGCGAAGGGTGCTGCGACACGCACGCATACACACACACAATGCCGTTGCCAAATCGACAAACATCTAGCAGTTTGCCCGCCAGAAGCTGCTGTTGACTGCCAGAGTCTTAAGGCCAGAGGCACAAAAGGGGTCTTCAACTTGAGTCTATCCTGGAAGGAAGTTGGGACCCTTGTAGACTCGGATAGCCTCGAATCGGAACCTGAGCAGCCTTCGCTCTGCTTATCAATGCACCCCTCCTCCCCACTGCCTGTCCCCACAAGTTCAGTCGCCGCAGGCCTGAGACTGGCTGAGCGGCCTGAGGGGCACCCTTGGCTTTGGCGATCTCTGAGCACATTCGAATCATTTGACAGCCTTAGGCGAGTACACATCTAAGCATGGTGCGAGACGTACACGTGGCCAAAGCACGCCAGGTTGGGTTTCTTGTCCTCGTTCTTGGACCCTTCAGCCTTCCAGGGACCGATTTTGGCGTTCCCTGATTTGTTGGAGGCGGTAGCCTATTGAAAGCCATGGCCCCTGTTTGGAGACAGGGACGTAGCAGCGGTTGAGCTGAGATGTGTGCCAAAGCCAAGCCGATGATCGTCGCCTTTCATCTTTTGCCCTACAGCCTGCAAAGAAACAAAGGTACGCGAGCAGGCCGATGGAACTCTGCGAACGTTAGCGTTCCAATTGTAGCAGTGAACTTTCAGTTTCACAGCTGCAGAAAGCCGAAGCGAAAATCTGAATCTGTGGCAGCATTGGCTGTCATCACGGGACACTTGGCCAATATGCATGCCTAAATCCCAATTGTGCAGTCTTGATCTTATGTGATAGTGGGCCTCTATCATCTTGAGGCTGCCACAGGTTTATGTCTTGGCGTCGAATCCTTGCTTGAGGCGTTCATCAACATGGAGCCCAAAGTGAAGGCAAGGCAAGTGGAGAGGCCGGGCGAGTGGCCAGAATGACGGGGGTCGTATTCATACCCACACCCCCTCGAAGTCTTGTAGATTCAGAGGGGGTTTGCTTCAGCTGGCTATGTTGATGTGCAGCCCATGCTGTGGGATGCTTGTTGCAATGCCTCTCCCAGCTCATGTATGTGGCCTAAACACTGATTCGCCAATTCGAGCAGCACGTCTCGTGCAGACAGTTCAGTCGCTCCTAGGCAATAACGAACCTTTGAATGCTTGATGCGGCATTTTCTCTAGATTAGCGGCAACTGCTACTAATTCCTGGGTAATTAGGGGATACAAACATAGCTTATAGGTGACGGCCTTTTTAGGAAAGACGAACCCTCAACTAAGTACCCTTTATCCCACTCAACCCGTTTCAATCAAACAAGTTGAATGAGCAGTGACCCAGAAGCTCGAGTCTTGGTCCATGCTTTTTGGCAACGCCTTCCAAAAACAGCGGTGCAATATCCAGAGAGTTTCCATGCATGTTCCAGTAGATCCTCAAACTGTATCGGGATGGCATCAGTTAGTGTAAGTTGCAACAGCTACATGAGTGTTCTTCCCTTCATCTTGGACAAGGGTACAGCGTTGATGTTTCTGCAGCTTTGCAGGGATGGCCATCATGTTTTCTAATCCGTTTCCCCTATTAGTACACACGGCCCTCCTAAATCTATTTGTCACGGGACCGAATAGATATACGTAAATAGGGTACATTTCTGCCCCAGGCGGTCCTTGTACTGTCCTCGTCCAACTGCGGGGTCTGGTCCCCCCTTTCCAGGACCCAAACATCGTTCAACATAGTAATTTACGAGCAAGGAGTTTCAACAGCAGAAATGCTATATTTTTTTTCCTCTGGCTTCGAATTGGATTAACATTGGTTTGTATCGGTTTAGTATTGATTTTGTATTAGTCGGGTATTGGTTCTAAAATTTCCCTACAGGGTTGATGGGAATTTTGCTGGTTTAGAATTGGCCTACTGGTGGCTAATTCTAATTTAGACTGGGAGATTTGGGGTCTTTGAAAGAATGTGTACTAACAGGGCGCATTTATGACTAGAGGAAGGGATTACTCCATGACTGACGATGAGCATGATGAGTCCAATGCACGCCGGGCAGGATTTTGCTTTCTTGAGCTTGTGTTGGCGTAGGCATTTCTTGGATGGTTTGAAACTTACAGGGCCTCTTTCCGGCAGCTATTTCTTGTCCAGAGATGTAAGATGGTTGTTATTTTCCTGCAGATCAGATGACAACTTCTCGTCTGACAGTTGAGCCACAATCAAAGGCGCGGCCGCCCTCTTGATTCGGCACATTTTTTTGGGTAGACCACGTCAATACCAGGTTTTGTTTGTGACTCACTTGGAACAACTTTCGCTCCGCAGTCACCAAATTATAATATATATATATATGTATATAGATATGCATATTATACATATCATACATATTAGATATTCAAAAGACAATACATTATCACCCATACGATCATATTTCTTAGACATGTTCGTCCTTGTTAATCATAAAGAAATCATTCCTGGTTATGATCGATTATGTAGGTGAATAGAATGATATTTTCGAGATCAGCTTCTCCATTCCTTTGCACATTTTAGTATTCTCCTACCTCAAGTTCTAAGATGGACTAACAAGCATAATCCTAAAATCCAACAACGAGAAAAACACATTTCTTAACACATCGCTGATCCTTTTTCATGTTCATGCCAAGCCTAAGTGAAATATATCTTAAACATTCATTGATTCTCTCTAAACCTATAAGACTACACATTCCAGCCCTTCCAACACGTAACCACAATCCTTTTCATTGGAGGTATACCATTCAGACAATATTGTCCAAAACAACAAGCACACAAGCTTCAATTTTGGATGTTATATATTTATAGCACCACATAACATACTCGAATCCAACTTACCAAACAGTATTTTATACTAAAGCAACCGCGCTATTTTTCATTTTAATTCATACTCTTAACGCGAAACTCTCGACTTCTACTCGCGGCTCTCGGCTCTCGCATCGCGACTCGACTCCTGAAGCCCGATCTTACCAGCGCCAAGTTGATCCGTGGCTGAAGAGCGAGCTAGCATTCGAGCACACCAAGGTTCTTGAAACTTCGGGTTCCGAAATTCTCCCAATTTGGAATCAGAAACTCTCGACATTTCGAGAACATTTGGCAGACTTATGTTGGCGCAAGGCCACTAAATTTTCGCGAAACTTGGGCCACTGGCTTCCACCGCCAACACAACCCTTCAAAATTTTGGGAAGACTTGACGATCTGCTGAGGGATGATTCATCCCCGCCCTCGCGCATGTATGTCTGTACAGATATGTTGTAGGGCAAGGACATTTCTGAAGGGCCAAGCAGCGCCGACGGGTTCCTCAGCTTCCAGGACTGTCCAAGGAGTACGAGGAGCCTTGGCAGTGAGACCGCAGCGCAGCGATGCAATTTAATAATTGGCCCACTTGCAGGGGGACGCAGGCAAGAAAGCCATGGAAGCTGAACTGGCAGAATTAGACAACTCAGCGCCAGATGCTGCTCATGTGAGGTGAATTTCTTGTAAGTCTCCTCATTCGAGGAGATGTTTCATGAAACAGCAGTCTCTTTGCTATCTAAGTGGATTGGCCCTTGACTATGTCATTTCTTCCACGGCGTCCTGGGCGGGCAATTCGAAGGTAGAGGTCATGAACCTCTGTCATCAACTTGTCGACCCGTCAAGATAGTGAAGCGCGAACAGGGCCGTCGCATCAAAATCGAGAGCAGTCGCGTGCCCGACATGTTGCGATGCAGGTTGTTCTTTCTGACCTCGCAACTGTTTGTCCAGGTTTCAGCATTATTAGAATTATTTTACAGATTTTGGGACCCTGTGCAGCCTGTGCAGCGCACCCATGTAACGCTACCCAGATTGCAACTCCTGAGTTTTCATTAAGGTAATCATTAAGGAAGGATCATTCAATATATTTGGGTGCTGTCGTGCGTCTTGATATTCACCTTAAACGCGCGTTTTGGTCTTCAGGCTGTTTGCATCCTTATATGTTGCACCGCAGCCACCTTTTTGCAGCTGCGCTCACCACCATGACTGGTTTGTCGCTTTTGCTTGGCCACTTGCACGCATTGGCTCGGAATGTTTGCGCTTTGACTCAGGGCGTAGCTTCTGTCTCAGTTGGCATTTGTGGCTGTGAGTGCTAGTTGACTGTGATTTGTCATGAGGCTTGCTATATGTGCAACATTGCGAGTCGCTTTGCCTACCGGATGCCGTGCTCCCGCAGAGCCGCGAGAACCTGGCTTCTCGCTTCAGCTTCATATTCTGTCCGCTTGCGATCTGACAGTTAGCTAAAGCTCACACGCGAGGTGAACAAGGGCGAGAGCTACCCGGTGGGCCTGTGGCCAGGTGACTGGGCTGCTGCTTTTTTGGTCACCAAGCTTGTTCGTATACTGATTGAGGAGAGGGCTACAAGGCAATGCTACATGACTGGTGCTGATAATCCGTCCGGAACAAACATTTATCAATTTTACCAGTATTTATTATTATTCTTTGGGGTCTGCAAGTCTCTTTTTTCGTTCACTTGTGGGTGAGTCCGCTCATGAGGCAGACAACACATGCTGCAATGCTTTTTTTTCCTAAAGCCTTAGAAGGAGCTTGAAATAGAAATCGCAACCTTTTCTTCTTTCAAAAGTAGCGCTTGCGACTGAAGGTAGAGGGTCCCCTAAAATGATTGGAAGAGAGGTTGGTGGGAGAAATCATTTGTTTAGAATTTGCCTATTCTGATTGAACCGGTATTAGGGGACCTTTGTCAAGGGGCACTGATTAACCTGCACAAAATGGTGGATCTATGACTGCGAGCAAGGAGAAGCTGGGCTTCAACGTGACCGAGAACGGCCCAGGTGGGGACTCATTGTCAGGATTCTACGCGCTGACGGGCTGTGTCACTCCCAATAACTTGGCTGATCGCGGCTGTGGCCAGGCCTCCGTGACTTGACAGCCAGCGCATGTGGGTCTTTGACATGCTCGCATCGACTACATCACATATGTGTTTTTTTGTACCCTACATGCGCATGTACCTAGCCCTTCCTGCAGAAATTACCGCCCCGCCGATTGCAGAACTTCAGCCGCAAATCAGCCTTGTCGCCGCATCGCGAACGGTTGAGAAAGGTTGAGAAAGGTTGCGAGCGGTTGTGAAATTTAGAAAAGCAGGTCGCGAACACGACCTCTAACCTCAGACCCCCACTTACAAAAAGGGAGCCCTTCGCTGCGCGGGAAAAATAGAGTTGTCATGACATATTGCCAGGACTTTTGTCGAGAATCGGTGGCTTCGCCGCAACATTCCGCCAACAAGATCTTCGCAACAAAACAGGTTTCGGGAAAATCCGCTCGCGAGTTTCCGCCGCAGTGCCGTGAGTTTCCGCCGCAATCCCGGAAATCTCGGACGCGAATCGAGGGTGGGAAAAAGCGTTGAGTTTCGGGGGAGCTGGGGCAAATTGCTTTTCCTCGCGATGTATCAGCAAAGTGGTTTGGAGCAGACTGGTTGTCCTTTGAACGAACAAAAATGGCATGTTTCTTCAGTTGTTCCATGTTGCTGGGGAGCGCAACCTTTGGGCTGACCAACTGAGCTGGGGCCCGGCGCGGCCCGGCTTCCTCGCGTGCAACCAGCGAAGTTTGGACTTGGCAGCCTTGCTTGAGGAGCCTTGGTGTTGCAATGATGCGTCCACGTGAGTGGGCGTTGTGGGTGTGGAGCATCCCGCATGGTTTGCACTTCTGGCTGGGTGTGGGGGGCTGCTGAGAGCAGTGGGTTGGACCTGCTGCCCTAGCTGTCTATGTGTCGACCATGCGTGGAAATATGTGGGAGGGGAGTGCCTGTGGGTTGCTGCACCAGCTTGCTTGCATGCTTGTGGCCAACCCTCAGGTACTGCCCTTCTCAGTCATGTGCTTGTTGACAGCTTGTTGTGAGGTTGAGGGTAGGTGTGGCAGTTATTGAACGCCTGCCCGCCCGCTTCTTGTCACAAGCCCAAGTGCTTGTTTGGGCGTGCTGAGAGCAGTGGGTTGGACCTGCTGCCCTCAGCTGCCCATGTGTCGACCATGCGTAGAAGGGAAGCGCCTGTGGGTTTCAATCACACGTACAACGTGTCTGGTGCCACACGACCATGTCCAAGCTGTCGGGCCCTCCTGGGGCTGAAGCCCAAGGAAGGAAGGATGTGCTGTCGTGCAGGTGCCGGTTGAGGGTGATCCTGCTAGCTCTTTTGCTCCATAGAAATGTCCAGTATGCTAGCCATTGCATCTTGCCAACAAGCCGCTTGTGTTGTTTCTGTTGCTCGCGGCCGATTGGTGCTTCACCTTCTGCTGCACCCTTGGAGTGTGACACTGCTGGTGTTGGCTCACGCCTGATTCTTGCAGTATGGTGTCAATGTAGTTGTCGTCCAGGCTGATGTAGATGTAGCTGCCTTTGTGTGTGATGTTTCTGCCAAGCTGTTGATCCCATCTCAAGGTTGCCTGTGTGCCTTGGCTGTCTTTCTTTTAGTATTCTGCTGAACAGTATGTCAATGATGCAGACTCAGCAGTCTATTGATCTGTGTACGTTTCTCTCTGTGGCGCATCTCGCACGTCCAAGCAGTTTTCCAGAGAAGCTGAACTCTGAATCAAGCTACCAATGGTCTCTCGGTTTGCTGCCTCGACCCTACACCCACCCTAAACCAACCCAAAACCAACCTACAAACCAACCTTGAAACCAAGATCCAGGCTTTCTGTGTCCTGTATGATTGGTTCTAGAAGGATTGTCTGGTTTCTATCTCTTAGCATCCTCATTTGATGTGGGCTCCGTTTGTTTGCTATCTTGTGTTGTACAGTTGATGGCGTTGATCCTCATTCCACCTTTTGGCTGTCCTGCTGTCGTAGGTCGCTTCAGTGCTTGTCTTCCTGCTGTAGTCCATTGTTGCTTGCCTGTGCTTCCGTCTGCTATTGTGTCGTCTCGTTCTCTTGTAGGTGATGTAGACCATGGTGCTGGTAGTGCTGGCCTCTTCTGATGTGCTGGTGATCGGCAATGTTGGCTCTATTGTCTTCTGCTGCTTTGTCTGCTGCTCACTCTGGTGTGTTGTGCTCTGTCTCTCGCCTTCTGCTGTTGTGCTTGTTGCTGCGTCCTTGCGCGATTTAGTTGCTTTGCTTGCTAGTGGTATTGCTACGGGTGTTGTAAGAGTTGTTTGCCATGGACCTGTGTGCACGCAGTCCAAGAGTTGCTGGTTGTACTTGTGACGAACAATCAAAGGCATAAGTGGATGTGATGTCTGCCTGATTTGCGCTTTGGGTGTTCTGACTTGTCCAAACTGTGTTCTGCGTGCTCGCTCAACTCCACCTTGTGATGGTGAGCTGTGTGCTCCTGAGTTTTTTTTGTAGTGCCGTTGCCATGCTTGTTGGAGCCTTTTGTAACCAACGCCGTCATGAAATCTTCCTGATCTGATTGTAGTATTGCGTGAGTTGTTCTTCCGCATTCGATGAGGATGCGTTGTAGTTGCATGGCCAGTTGTATGGCCATGATGTCGATTGCTGTGAGAATTGGATATCTCTTGCGGAAGCTTTGCTGCCTGTGCTACTCTTGCCTTTGGTGCCTTGTTGTTGTTCCTCGTCATCTGACTCCATTTGTGTTGGACATTCTTGATGTTCGTCAGAGTTTGTCCAGCCTGTCCAAGGCTTCCTTTTGCTCCCTTGCCTCCATGTTGATTGTTGTAGTGTCCTTTTCCTTCTCCCCTGTCGCTGTGCCCTTTGCCATACCCATGTTGTCCTTTGAATGGATTTCCTTGTCCAACCGGTTTATTGTATTGTTTTGTGTTGTTTTTTGCTCCATTGTACTTGTTGTAGTGGTGGTTGTGCCAGCAGCCGCCGTAGTCTTTGCCCCTGTTGTGTTTTCCTTTGTCCTTGCGCTTGCCTTTCTTGCCGTTGCCGTTGTTGTGCCATGTCGCGCCCGTGGTCCAAGGTATGCTGTCATCTTGCACTTCCGTTCTTCAAACGTGTTGTTGTGAATCGCGGTGGTGCTGTCTTGCACTTGTCTATTCCCTCCAGCTGCTGCTGCTGCTGCTGCTGCTGCTGCTGCTGCTGCTGCTGCTGTCGTTGCTGTTGGGCCGCCATGCCTTGCGTGGTGTGTGGAAAGGCCGCGAGATCTTTCCCAGGTGTGTGACTGTGTTCACTGCACCGGTGTACCTGCGAGTGTAACAGCGCGGTAAGCTTGCTTGTACCATGGGCTGCGCTGTACTGAGGCGCAAGGCCTGCGGTATGTACAACTAGCAAGGTGCAAGGCGCGTGTAGTTTACCATAGATATGCGCAATGTAAAGAAACACGCCCTTGAGTTGCAAAAGGAAATTGTCATGTTTTGCGCTTGCTTGTTCTTTCTTGGTTCTGATCGGTCAGACACACGGAATCGACATGTGTAGTTGTAGCATTGAAAGAAGCCACGACGTTACTGCGATCCGTTGAAGATTGCTTAGAAGGTGTCACTTCTGGGACCAAACACGAAGTAGAACTGGCCCAGGCTTCTTGAGCGAAAAAGTGCTTTACCGCCAAGTCAACCCGTGTCGGTGACGTGCCGAGGTTACTTACAACCATGCCAGCCTGGAGGGATGGACTTATGGCTATGCCAGAGATTGGGATTACTTGCAGGTGACATATCCATCCACCGCCCCTGTCAATTTAGGCAACAGTGGCTACTATGGCAGCGTGACAATGTATGTCGGATCTACCGTAATACGCAACGCGTATGAGAGTGAAGGTCTGGCCCTTTCGTATTATCGCAGCTACAATGTCACCTGGAACACACCGTGGAACCATTTCACAGGCCTAGAGTCTCTGGACAGGAATGATTTGCTTCCGTGCAATCGAACTCGATTTTACTCCAGCAGTGCAGACATGGAGCTGTATGTTGAGCAAACCAATGACGCAGCAGGGGTCGCCCAGCTGCCGGACGGGAAATGGCATGCTGTGTGCCCCGATGGATACTTTTGGCTGCCGCCGGGCTGCCGAGCAAACACATCTCACTGCATTCCGTTCTTCACCGGGGGCACTGGCTGGAATGTGGAGGAGCGCCTGGTGGTTTCCTTCAGTTCTGTGCAAACACACGAGCACGGGCACTTGCGCGCACGTGTGCGCGCAACTGCTTTGCACACACCAGGCGCTTAGGCGCTCATGCACGCGCGCACGAGAGCGATCAAGCGCCCGCGCACAGGCGCGCTTGCATGCGCGCAAACGTGTTCACCCACCCAAACGCATATCCACACGCGCACTGGCACGGGCATGCGCACGTGCACGCAAATGCTCACGCGCACGTGCGCGGCAAGACGCAGCAAGACGCGCGGCAGTTTCCCAAGCAACAAGCACAACACAAACGCGCTTGTTGGTGCGCTTCCATTCTTGCAAGCACTGGCGCAAGTTTGCGCAGGCCAAAGTCCGATACAAGATTGGCCTGTTAGTTGTCAACATGGCACAGTGTTCGGGTTGACTTCTCGGATGTTGCTTTTTGGAGTGGGGCTTGGTTCCCCACTTCGACTCGCCGTGTGACAGCTGTGACAGAGGAACAGGCTATGGCAGACAAATGTGATCCAGGAAAGTTGCGACAGGCTTCCCAGCGGCTGGAACAGCTGTGACCGGCTGCCTGGCCTGAGTCGCCCGCAGACAGTGCAGAAACCGCAGGCCGAAGTTTGAGGCTACCGCCTATGCTGACCAGAGCGCAACGCCGCGCTTTGATGTCACCATGGGTTTGGCGCGACGCTCGCATTTCCCCAAACCGAGCATTCGTAATTAGCACAATCGTTGAAGAGTTCAATATGACCGAAAGAGTCTCTCATTTGGCTTTGTGCCAGGAGTGGATGGTGAAGGCAACCTTGTGGAACATGCCCGTTGCGGTGACAGTGGCAGCAAATTGGGCCAGCTTTACTCAGTTGCCACTGAAGCACGACAGCATTTTCTACTGGTGGACCCCGGATCCGACTTTCTTGGAGTTGAGTCCGGCAGCGATTCTGTTTCCGCCGTATGATGAGACAGCTTGGAGTAAAGGAGATAAAAGCACGGGAAGCCACATGGGATCCATTGACAAATACGTGAGCAAAGATCTGGTGCTGCTCGCGCCGAATGTCCAGGAGCTGATTTCGAGTCTAGGCTTGATGTCTTTGAAAGCTGTTTCACGACACACGGGCATGCAGGACACTTACCGACCAGCTCAAACGCTAAGGAATTTCCGCATTGATTTGGGCAATCTTGACAACATGCTGCTGGAGAACAAAATATCTGGAGAAGCAATGGAAGATACGGCTTGCCGCTGGCTCAAGAACAATCCAGGCGACCCCCAAGACAATCGTGCGGATTTGTTTCGCTGGTGCCGTTTCGCATCTCAAAATCAAAGAACACCTTTGCAGATGACGAGCTGGGTTTCCTCGATTGGCTGTGATGCAAGTCACTTATAAGCTGGGATGCAAGGGACAGAGGAGTTGTTTGAGAATGATGTAGCTTAAAAAAGCATAAGCGCAAGTGGAAAAGCAAGAAACAAACACCGACACACTTGCACCACACACACACACACATGCAGCCCAAGACATTTCCATAAGTACACACATTCACACAAGTGCTGACAAGCGCAAGCAGGCACTTAGAAACACAAAACCACTTATACATACAAACATGCATAAACACAAACCCGCGGAGGGAGAGAGAAAGAGAGCGAGAGAGAGAGAGAGAGAGAGAGTGAGCGAGAGACAGCGAGAGAGAGTGACCGAGAGAGAGAGAGAGAGAGAGCGAGAGCGAGAGAGAGAGAGAGAGAGAGAGAGAGAGAGAGCGAGAGAGAGGGAGGGAGGGAGCGAGCCAGAAAGAAAGAAAGAGAGAAAGAGAAACAAGAAAAGAAAAAGGAAAGCAAAGAAAGGAAAGGAAAGGAGAGAAAAGACAATGCAGAGAAAGACAACAAGGAAAGCAACACAGGAAAGTCCTTGACTGAGTTTGGCTTGCTGATGAAGTTGACTGTGGCAGCGCATGTGGTGTTGCACGGCGCTGCAAAGTATACAAAGCCGGGTTTTGCCATGTTTCAGACAGGATGGTAGCTTCTATCCGGCAGAGACCAGAGCTTCAGCGCTTTTTTCTTCGGGCATCTAGCGTGTCACTCTATGCCAAAGCAAGTTCTCCTAACGGATCTTGTGCATTCGACCCAAGATCCCGGGAGGTTCTTGGGACACATGGCTGCCGGATGTCACCAAGTGCTTTCCTGGTTTTGGCCTCTACAGCAGCGAGACGAACACGTTTGTGCCAAACAGACAGAATTTCAGCAGTGTGGCATGCATCGCATGCGAGTCTGGAAGATTTTCCAAGCAGTTCATTGATGACAAGGCTCGATTGTTGACCATCATGTTGACCTTTCTTTGCATTTGCCAGGATTGGAAGGCTTACCATGTTCTCCTATGTCTCAGCTGGTTGTGAACTCCTTGGCCAGACCTGCGCAGGGCGTCACGTTCGTGTGCGAGATCTGCCCGATTGGAACGAGCCAGCCATCAGGAGCATCATTGTCTTGTGAGCCTTGCTCACCTGGCGAGTACCAGGACTGATGCTGTTGAAGACAACCTGGGCTTCATATTCAGAGGGCCCAACAATTTTGTCTTCTGACCATGGAGGTTCTGGTGACCGGAAGATGTTCGCCGCTTGTGCTTTTTTCCACAACTGAAGACTATAGGGGTTCTATTTCAAGCCGAGAAGGACGGGGGCGACAAATTGCACAACCCTACAACGGATGTCCCGAAAAAGGTCCTGCTGCTTCAGCTCGGAAACATGAGGTGATGTTTAATGATTTGCCAACCTGAGATGAGAAATGGACTGCAGGAAAGAAGCCTTTGGATGGGTCTAAACTTCCTACTGTTTGCCCAGAAAGCCTTCCCTTCAAGGTCCCTCGTAACGAGCCAGATTGAATTCGCCGCTGGGCCCAAAGTGATCATTTTTGGAGCTGGCTGAAAGAGGTCCGACTGCATGACCATGAGACTCCAACATGAAGCCCAAGGATCTGAAAGCTTCTCAGGCAATCGGCCGAATGCCACAGCCCGTCAAGCTCGTATTGGTTTCCTTCAAGACATGGCTGGTTTATATGACTGTTGGAAGTGTGCTGAAAGAACTGCAATCCATTGGCCCTTTTAAAGGAAATCCAGTTGGCCATTCCAGGAATTGCTATCTCTTGCAACCACTTGGTAAGTATAGAACTTTTCAGAAGGCTTTGCACTTGTCACAATGGGCTCAATCCGCCAGTCCAGCAGTTTGGCCTTCTGGCTTTCCAACAGATATCCAATCAGCCCATGGCCGAATTTTGCACCAGACATTTCAACCGAATTCCCATGCGGGAAGCTTTGAGACACACTCGGTTTCGGAAAGCCGGCAAACACGGCAGATTCCTGAGCGCGTGACCTGCAAGAGCCCTCGTAAGGGTTCGTCCCACGGCTTTTGAGTGCCAAGACGGCCTTCGCTCTTTCTTTGTGTTTAGCATGCACAATCAATGCTCCACAGCAAGCTGAAGAGTACCTCACGTACCCTGCCACATTTTACTCCCCGTTTCCAGTATCTCAAGGAAGCCGAGAAAGCAAAGCAACCCCTGCTTGGGAGATGGTATGGTTGATGTTGTGGGCGAAATCTATGGTTGATGTTGAGGTCACAATCTTTGCAGCTTCTGTTTGCTCTCTAGTTAGCTTGAAGAACCTGGCTTGTTTTTGCGGCTCGCTCGGCTTAGCTCGGACTGCTCCATTCCCACTGGCAGTTGGCAAAGCACGAATAGCTGCTGGACTGAAACCACACATGATGCGCAAACGCATGAATGCCGTAGCAGTGATTCGCAATTGTGCTCTGTTGTATGTTGATCAAGCCGTATGACTATGGCTGTGAGATGACTAGCATGAGCATTGTTTGTTCTAATCTGCGTGAACATGGGATCCGCCAATCATCATGCAACTCAGATACATATTCATATGTATCTACTGGACAACCATACTAGGCAAACAAACACACGCCACAGCGGCAAGCATGCGTGCGACATACCCACGCTTTTTCAACATTATGCTTTATCCTCAGTGACATTGTATGCATTGCAAGCATGCGGACACACACACACACACATGTAGACAACCTCATATCATCACAGGCAATGCGCTACATGTAAATAGTATACCCAGTGTGCGCTTAATTATTTAGGGTGTGCAGTCACACGGCGGCCATTTTGTCATTTTTTTTTTTAAATGTAAATGAGTAGAAGAGAGACCTTTGCAGGGTAGCCTGCTTCAGCATGTGATAACCACCGAAGCATTGGACATGACAGCCTGGCTATGGGGAGTCTGTGGGGAGTTACAGGGCTGAAAAACGGTGCTTGCGCAAACACAGGCTACACACTGGGCTCTTCATAAACTATCCAGCCAAGCGCGGATTAACTTCTGGTATTCGTTTCGGTGTAGGTAAAGCACTCATGTGTTGGCATGATTAGTGAGTGGCTCTCTCTCTCTCTCTATCTATTTCTCTCTCTCTCTCTCTCTGTCTGCCTGCCTGCCTGCCTGCCTGCCTGCCCGCCTGCCCGCCTGTTCGCCTGCCCGTGTGTTTGAATGCTTTTGTTGCAAAATGCCGCTGAAGTATGATGGCGTGCATTCAGGACGACGAGGGCAGTTCGACTTGCAAGCGCTGTCAAATCGGTGACTACGAGGATGAGCCCTGGATATGACGGGGAAGCAGCTGACAAGTAACGCATGTCCCGAAATGGGTTTGACGCATGCGACGGAGTCCACTTTGCGCGTTCGATGTGAGGAACGGGGCTCTTCCACGTGCAAAAGCTGCCCATCGGGGTCTTGGACTTTGGGCTTGGGATCTGTGACGATCTCTGACTGTGGATGCCAGGCCGGGATGGCAGCGGTTAGCTTGCCAGGTTCGTACATAGTATGTTTACGTACAAATTACGCACAAACACACACACACACACACACACACACACACACACACACACACACACACACACACACACACACACACACACACACACACACACACACACACACACACACACACACACACACACTCCACACACACACACACACACACACACACACACACACACACACACACACACACACACACACACACACACACACACACACACACACACACACACACACACACACACACACACACACACACACACACACACACACACACACACACACACACACACACACACACACACACACACACACACACACACACACACACACACACACACACACACACACACACACACACACACACACACACACACACACACACACACACACACACACACACACACACACACACACACACACACACACACAACACACACACACACACACACACACACACACACACACACACACACACACACACACACACACACACACACACACACACACACACACACACACACACACACACACACACACACACACACACACAACACACACACACACACACACACAACACACACACACACACACACACACACACACACACACACACACACACACACACACACACACACACACACACACACACACAACACACACACACACACACACACACACACACACACACACACACACACACAACACACACACACACACACACACACACACACACACACACACACACACACACACACACACACACACACACACACACACACACACACACACACACACACACACACACACACACACACACACACACACACACACACACACACACACACACACACACACACACACACACACACACACACACACACACACACACACACACACACACACACACACACACACACACACACACACACACACACACACACACACACACACACACACACACACACACACAGCTAGCGCCTTGCACCAAAAAGTCGCTTTGCCTTTCCTAAATCAGCATCCCACAAAGCGACTGCAGGCCGGATGGTGCGGCCCAGTGCCCCGTACAAAGAGCTTGGTTTTGAAATGTTTCTGCACGCTTTGACCAAAACGAGGGTTTGGAGAGAACCGCCGGTCAAGTTGTGGACGTTTCTACGACCACCAGAAGTGAAGCGAATTTCTGCAAATGGGCTGGAACTCACAGAAGGCCTCCTATGCAACGAGCTGGAACTTGCAGGCTCTCTCACCTCACCTTCCCTCCACTCCCTCCACTCCACCCACCCACCCACCCCCGCCCAATCCCACCCCACCACGCCACGCCACGCCACGCTGCTCCACTCCACTCCAAAAACACTTTACTTCACTCTTCTGCACTGCACTGCACTGCGCTCCACTCCACAGTTAGTCCATGTATTGTTTTCCAGTTTTTTGGTTCCTTTTCGTTATTTGTTTCACACCCAGTTCATGCTCATTTCATGGCAGCTTGTGTTATTTGATGTTATTTCATTGACATGATTTGTTTCATTTCATGTCCTTTCCTTTTCAACATATTTTTATCCATTGTCATGTTCCGGTTTGGTTTCATTTCGTTTCATGTCAACTCATTTCATCTCATGTCATTTAATTTCACTTCATGCCATTTGATGTCATTTCACTTGATTTCACGTAACTCATCTCCGAGGCTGACCCTGGTGCTCGCAAGCGCCTTTGTTTGGGTATCAGGGGAGGCAACCATTGTCACGGAACGCCCTTGCTTTGTATTGGTTGTGACATGTGCGCAGGCAGGAGCCATTGATGTCGGCGAAGGCCGGGTGGTGGCATGGCAGTTGGCACCTGGCAATGGCAACTGCCCCGAGGCAATCTCAGCTGCGCCACCTGTTCTGAGGGACTCAACTGCCCGCCGATGTCAAGCGAGGAGAGTTCCTGAGCCAAAATTCCGATGCCGCCCAAGTTGCCGAAGGTCTTGGTTCAAGGTCAACATACAAAGGTTGTCACGCAACCCTGCTAGCTTGTTGACCCAGATTCCCATGTGAAGTATACACCCGTCACCCTGGGCCAGCCTCTTTTGGAAGCAGGTGTAGGGGTCTTTGCACTGCACGCCTGTGGACGTCTGAGGTTTGAAGAGTGGCACAGCGGATTTGGGTGATGCCTACGTGCCACAACTGAAGCCGGGCTTCTTCAGCACGATCGCTCAGCCCTTGGAAGCCACATCCTGAGCCTGCAGCGGTCGGCTGTGCAAGACGCCGGGTTTTGGTGACCCCTGACATGGCCTCTCTTATTCAGGTTTACAAGTGCGGCAAGGTGATTCAATGCCCTGGCGGGCCTCCAGGACAAACGTTTGACATGCCTTTGTGTCGTCCCTGTGTTTGGCTGGCCTCAAGCTGCCTTGGCCCTGCAGGATCCTGCGCAGGAGGCCTTTCTGGAATTCCGTGCGCAGAATGCCTCGAAGGCGTCTGGGGGCTCTCATAGCAAATTTGCTGTTGCGGTCTGCTGGCAGGCATGACTTGGAATGGTGGAGAGTGCGTGCAGTGCCAAGACTTCCAGAGGGCTATGTGGGTCTGATGCTTAACCCGGCAAACGGACGAAGGTGTCAAACAAGGCTAACGGAATGAAACGCACGCGGCCTGGCTGAGGTGCTCACTCTATGTGCAGTCTTTGCATTCCTGACCATGGCTTATTACCTGTTGACTTCGAAGGTATCTGCAAAGGCTTCTGTCCTGTTCACCACGTCGCTTGCGATGGGCATGGCTGTCACAACCTTGCAGTCCATTGGCATCATTTCCATGATGACAGTGGAGTGGCCCGTTGACTTGAAAGGGGTCTTCGGCTGGTTGCAGATATTCATCTTGGACATCGACAGCTTCGCCTTCAGTTGCCTCGCCGGTTCTACCACATCTCTGCGTTACATTGGCAGTGTTGTTTTCTTTCCTGCTGCCCTGATCTGGATACTGGCTTCGTATCTCATGAGCCAGCTCCTGCCAGCCAGCCGCCGTTGGGAGTGGGCCAAAACACTTTCCCTGATGGGTCAGTTCTTGCAGGCCGGGTTCTCAGCATTCTCTTTGTGCTTGTGACCTGAACAATGCCACACTGCATGCTTCAAGAAAAGGGAAATCGGTGCAAACCTTGGAGCTATTCATCAAGTGCAGCCTGGCAGGGGTGACTGTAGCGATGCAACTGTAACTTACACCAAGACATACTCGGACATACACAACACTGCGCAGCACATCAAAAGCAACGGTCAACTCGACTGGTGCCCAATGTGTATCAGGAGCCGTTCGCATGCCCACTCACTTCCTTTGGACAAAGCACGATCAAATTAATTGACAAGCAGAGAATTTCGCGCGTGTGCGCAGATGTGTGCGAGATGACCCAAAAGCACTGAGCTTTGTTGCGAGCTATTCCACATCTTGCGAGCAACAAATTGTAAATTGGGCCCAGGTCGGCTTCAGCACCATGAGCACAATTGCATTGGCGCCGCTGATGTGTTACACGCATCCCAATGGGCAGCAAAGCATTCTAAAGAGCCCTGGCAGAAATTCAAGAGATTCAATGGCAAACGTGTGATTCTTCCGGGCATGCCTAATTGAAGCGTGACTGTACTTAGATATCCCAACGTGATTTGCGGGGAGCCAACGCACACTGCGATGATGGTGGCTGGATCGCTTCTCTTATCGATCGGGTGTTTCGGCTTTGTGGCGATATGCACATACGTCGCCTTCAAGGCTGGCTCTGTGCGACAGTGTGTTGTTGTACTTGTCGATCCACGGGAAACCACGCAGTGCTCAGACAGGTGCCAGTGTGGAGTTCCATGGAAAAGCACAAGCGGGTGCAAAGCGCCCGGTTCCTGCTATTCCGCTTCCGCTTGGACATTTGGTGGTATGGAGTACCCCTTCTGATCCGAGGCGATGGGGTTGGAGTAAGAATTGTGCATAGAGCAGAGGGCGTCAAGTGGAAGCAACTGGAACTTTCAAGCTATTGCGGGTCTCAACCCTTCCAGCGCACATACCTCCACCCACCCCCCCCCCTGCGCGGCTGCCCCGCACCGCACCGCGCGCACACGCAGGCACGCAGACACCCCCCCCCCACCCCCTGTGTTGCTTTTGCTTCGCAAGTTGACCCTGCAATCACTACTAATATTTCGGCTCAAGGCCCCTCTTGTACAACAGTTGCATTCATCCTGCAGCCAGTACAAAAGGACCTAGCAGAGCGCCTTACAGGGGGACATATCACACACATTATCAGAACCCGGCATATTGGACTCTCTTGCAGAATAGATCCAGGGCCGAACCACACATTCTCTACTACCACAAGGTACCTGCTTTCTTCGGGGATACGGTACCCCTGGCAGTGGGTCTCAATTGTGGTAGCGGAGCAGGTTTTCTGCAGAAATCCAAACACAATGTCATCCGATGGAGAAGGCTTCGTGGAAGCCTATTCAAGTGTTGGCCGTTCAACCGGCCACGCTGAAGAGACGCTCAACTTATCGATGGCCGCCAAGCAGCCGCCATCGTGCGACGGAAGAGTCAGCTGGTTTAGATATGAAGAACTTGTAGATGATTGGGTGACCTTCTCAACCATTGATGCCTCCAAGAGAGGACCACTCCTCAAGAGCCGTCTCACGGGAGACGCTCACACGTACAAGGCAGTCCTCCAGATTGACCTCTTGCAAGATCCTGACAAAGGAATCAACTATTTCAAGAACACGCTGAAGAAGTTCTTCCTGAAAGGGTCGACCAACGTGTACTTATACAGACTTCTCAGTTTCTTCAACCACAGGAGGCAGAACACCGAGTTCCTCATATTCACATCAAAATTTGAGATTCTCTTGACGAGATTGAAGGCAGCCTGGATGGACTTGATGCCAGCTCATACGGCGCAGTCACCAGAGTTCATAGCTTCAGCCCAAGAGGCTAATGCAAGAAGAATTGCCGCGCCTCCAGATCTGCTGCAGACAGACAATCCAGAAGTACTCAGGCAGCACCTTTCAGGCATGCAGACAACGCACACTTTCACATTTCCCCTCAGCGACAACCTCATTGCACAGTTTTTAAAAAATCCAAAGTGAGTTGTCAGATCAGCAGAGAGAAAGACTGATCAGTGCAATGTCGTTGAGAAACATCTCGCTTGAGAACTATACCTACGAGATGATGAAAACGCAGTACCACGATCTCTTCATCACGACCAGAACATCCATCCAAGATCCATCCATCCGACCGTCCGGCGGACACCGAAGCAACACCTTCTGCGTTCTCGAACAAGGAGAATATGAAGGCGAAGAAGGCTTTTGGGTGGAAGACGAAGAAGGACTGGAAGGTCTTATGTCAACCAAGGATGAGGAGACTTTTTGCGGGTATTGGAGGAGAACGATGCGTTCATTGCGAGAAAGGTGGGCGGAATTTCAGGTTCGAGAAGAGAAAAGGAAAGGGAACATCGACAAGCAAAAAGGGCAGTCACCAACGAGGTGGCTTCAAACCCTTTCGAAGAGGTAGCTCTGGCGAGAATGCCATTCTGGCCAACGAAAATTAGGATCCCTACGACCAGGCATATTGGGGAAAAGGCAAAGGAAAGAAGGGAAAGAAAGGACAAATCGAAATTCCAATATCCCTGCAAAGGAAAAGGCGGACAAGAAAAGGAAAATCCAAGACGTTCGCAGCCATCCGGCAGTCCCTGGCCCGATGGGGTGGATGAAGGTCCCTTACCTACTGTCTTTCCAAGCCAGCTATCATAGCAACATGAATGACCGAACACTGCCAGCGTCAAGCTTGGAGATGTCCAACCACTGAGACATCCTGCCTGACATAACAAGGGTCAAGCCAGTCCAATTACACCCAAAATGGCTGGAAACACATGCGCCCCGTTTGCCTACCGGCGGTCCCAGAGCAAACGGCTCAAAGCTAAAACATCAGCGCTGCAAAACGCAAGCATTCCAGGGGACGCAAAGCCTGTCCTGGAGGCCTAGCCTAAAGGCATACCTTGTTACAGCGAAAGCAGGATTCAACGAAACCCCTGGCAGCGGCATCCCTAAGGGGCCGTGCGCTTACACCGCATGCCACTGTGACCGCAACGTTCCAAGCTTTTACTTTGCGTTGGAGGTTTGGCTTGTACGAATCTCGACGAATCATCGTGCCAGCGCTTTGTGGCATTTGTGGCTTCTCACGCAAAACACTGCACCAGACACGCGCATGCGAGTACCGCCAAAGGCTTTTGAGCCCCTTACTGCCCTTACGAAGCTCGGCTTTGGGAGCGGCTCCTATCAGCCAATCCCATTCACGGTTCTGAATTCGTGTGCCTGCTGGACTGCTCGAAAACTTGAGGCGCGCACACACAAAATAATGTCTTCCGCTTTTCTGCAAGCGTAGCGCGCTTCTGGAGAAGTTGGCAAGCGCTCAATGCTCACCGAGTAGAAAGCAGAGAGCGCAGGGAAGCCTCCTTTGTGCCAGCCGTAGGGTCAAGGTTGTCAAAGCCTCGATGACCTTGACCAAAGTTTTTCTCCGGTGAACCGCATTGTTCCCAAGGAACAACTAACCCATCGGTGTCACGCAAAAGTTGGTGTCCTGCAGGCAGGGGGTGAACGGTAGCATTCCAACGCCACACCCCCGCACCACTCCGTGAGGATCAAAGGAACTCCGATACAAGACCAGTCCAGTGGGCGATGTGAAGCACGAAGTGGGTCAAGTTTGGTTGACAGTACGAGTAGAGCAGGCAAAGCCGGTTGCAGGAAGTTTCAAAACTACAAGAACAATTGTTTTTCTTTCTATTTTTCTTCTTGTTTTTCGCTATCTCTCTCTCTCTCTCTCCCTCTCTCCCTCTCTCCCTCTCTCCTCTCTCTTCTCTTCTCTTCTCTCTCTTCTCTCTCTTCTCTCTCTCTCTCTCTTCTCTCTCTCTCTCTCTTCTCTTCTCTTCTCTCTCTTCTCTTCTCTTCTCTTCTCTTCTCTTCTCTTCTCTTCTCTTCTCTTCTCTTCTCTTCTCTTCTCTTCTCTTCTCTTCTCTTCTCTTCTCTTCTCTTCTCTTCTCTTCTCTTCTCTTCTCTTCTCTTCTCTTCTCTTCTCTTCTCTCTTTCTTTTCTTAATTTTCGCGGTTCCCGCGCGACCGTACTGTGGATCAAACAATCGAGGCTTTTGCTACTTTTTGCGACGCGCACGCGACCCTTTGCGTGAATGGATCAGCATGGTCCATGTGCAAAAAACGACCGTGGGAGGGGGGGGGTTCCCAGACCCGTTCTTTTGACCCGACGTGCGTTTCAGTTTCAATTGCGAATTCCCATACGAACCTAGTGCCCGACCATCGCAACTTTGCGGCCCTTTTCGCGAACCGGCGCGTGTTTCGTGTGAGTTTTCAACCTAACAGAACTGCTCGCCAACAAGCTGCAAAGTGTTGTTGCCACTTGGCAGTGCTGAGCGGGTGCGCTTCAGAAGGTGTTCTTGCCGCTTGGACGGCATGTGTGCAGTGCTGAGCGGTTGCATTTGAGCAGGTGTTCTCAACACTTGGCAGGTGTGTGTGTGTGTGCGCGCGCGCGTGTTCTTACCATGTGGCGTGCCTGTGCGCTGTGTGTGCAGTGCTGAGCAGGTGCGCTTGAGCGGGCATTCCTACAATTTGGCAGGCTTGTGTGTTGCGCTTGAGCAGGTGTTTTTACTACTTGGCAGGTGTGTGCGCAGTGCTGGGCGGGTGCGCTTGAGCGCGCGTCCTTACCATGTGGGCGGCCTGTGCGCTGTCTGTGCAGTACAACGTTACCGCTTGGCAGGCGCGTGTGCAGCGCTTGGTGGTGCTCTTGAAAGAATTGCGGGTGTTCGTAGCACTACCGCTTGGCAGGTGTGTGTGCAGTGCTGAGCGGTGCGCTTGAGCGGGTGTGCCGTTTGGCAGAAAGAATAGATGCCGCTCAGCGCTAAAGGGTGGGTCCGGTAAAGCCCCCGCTAACAGAAACATGTGCAACGCACTTGCGCGGAGAAACATGCGCCGAGAGCTCACGCAGAGAAACTTGCGTTGAGAACTTGCGCAAAGTTGCGCAGGCAGCGCGCAGAGAAACTTGCACGTAGAACTTCCACAGATAAACTTTCCGCGACAACTAGCGCGTAGAAACTTGCGTGCGAGCAGGCATGCTTTCGTTTTGGTTTGGAAGGCAAGCGTGTCGGCGCAGAAGAAACATGTGCTGCGCCACCTTGCAAAAAATGTGAAAAGTGCTTGACACCACCGCTCGCTATATATCATGCTTTCGGACAACCCGTGGTTCTAGTTCCAGATGTGTTTGTTTGTAATGATACTTTTCCTTATGCAATACTTGGAAGGTGGGTTTACTTCGAAATCCACATGGCCGCGCAAGGGCTTGAACGCCTGAACTCACACGATGACACTGTTTGCCAGGGCACTTGCCTAAGGGCCCATGCCCGACGGAGGCTGTCACACAGTAGTGGAGGCCAATTTGTACGATACCGCATGAGTCTTCCTCAAATTCAACAACAAAGTTGGAGCGTTTTCCGAATCGCGACTTTTGGTTTGCGAATCGTCCGAATGCAACATGAAGTAGGGGTTCTCAGGTCTTTTGTAGAATTTGCATTTCAATTTGCAAGTGGGGATTACGCTGCTGCTTCCATTTGTTATTCATTTTTTCTGTGATTCCTATTCGAGTTTACTCCTGAAGCATACACGCCTACAGGGACAGCAGTGTCTGATTTGTTACCAATTCTATGTATATATGGAGCCCATAGCCTTAGATACATACATGTTCACACCGCACCTGATGCAGTTGCAGCATGAATAATCTCTGTGTCATGCTCCGCAATGGTTTTGCCGTATCAAGCCTGCGCTCACCAGAAACAAGCAGTGCCACCTCCGCGCCACATCAGACTATCCGTGTTGGGGTGTTGTCAGGACTCACCAAGACCCACTTGCGCTACAACGCTTGTCCGCCCCACATACCCAGCTTGCTGACAGGCCCCTTGCTTTCATTGCCCATCGTGCTGGCCACGGACGCGCCGCCTGTGCAAGTGCTGCTGAGCTTTGAAACAGGTCTCACGTTAACCCCCCAATGGTTGTTTTGTTGGGTCGGTGATCTTTTTCATAACCCCTACAAGAGGTATCAACTTAACAAAAGCACTTCCTCATTGCTCTTAAGTCAGAAGCGCATGCTTGGCGCTTCCATGCTTTGAGACCCCGCGTTCATGTCCGTATTGACCTTATTACGACCGCCTTCCATGCCGGAGGACCGTCAAGATAGGAGGACTAGCGCAGGTCGCCAATTCAGAGGGACAGGAGCGCGAGAGGAGAGGGATCGAGGAGGGGATTAGGAAGAAAGTAAGCAAATCTTGTTTTAGTTCTCACTAGCCAAAGTCCAGTGTGCAGTCACCGTGCTGTTTTCAAGGCATATCTTCTAAAGACAGGTGTAGGCCAGCTATTCCTAAATTTGAGCCACACCATTGTAGTCACTGCTTTTGCTTTGAGCGAAGCCTGGGCATTCGAACTGTTTTTGCGTGACCCCTCATGAAGCACCTTGACCTTGCTTCTATGAGCCAACTGTTCCCCATTCTTGGCTGCCCATCGTAACTGTGCTTATGACAGGATGAATCCTCAAAGAACACCACCCTCAGCTCCCGCTCAAGCGGTACTGCTTTTGGCATGCAAAGGTTCTGAAGGAAGCTGGAGCATGAGCTGGTTGATTCTATCCAGTAGTGTGGCTGCAAGTGTAGCAGCCGAGGATAAGTGTCTCTGTGGTCCTTATGACGTTTCTTTGCCTTCAAGCAGTCATGTGGCCTTGGAAAGTGCCACTGATCAACGCCGTCGACTGCTGGTTGGGCTTCTGTATCATGCTGTGCCCTGGCAAGAAATGTGCCTCCTTTTGAAGGCAGTGCCTCCTTTCGAAGGCAGTGCCAAGCCTTTGGATACAGCTTGTTAGAGAATGATCCGATTCTAGATGCAGATTGATCCAGCAGGGGTTGGCTCAAGGTTTCTTTTTGGTCCGTGTTTAGTGTTGGCCCCAACAGTCAGCTTCCCTCTAGTTGGTGATTTGGATTGGTGGTTCCCATTTACCCCCTAGAATCCTCAAATCGCAAAGCACCAATCCAAACCACCAACTAAGAGCTTGAAAAAGCTTGAACTTTGGTTTCCAGGGCTTCGGACTGCATGGGCTCCGGGTTGTCAGTCACAGCATGTTGCGTCAGAATAAAAGTCACGCTCAGACATTCCTGGTGTGAGGCTTGTAATTTCATCGTCTCTCCACTTGGACCACAGCCCGGAGCAGTTTCAGGACTTCGCAAGACTGTTCTCCACAGCCACTTTCCTCATCCATAAGTTTCGGTGGGGAGAAAGGGAGAGAAACAAAAACAAAGTAGTACCCAGCGTTTGTTTGTAGATCTTCTTTGGTAGCAATGTAGTTCATGAGAGGAGCGTGTCAGCGCGAGCAATATCCTGGAACCGAGGCTGTGATGAGTCTCATTGGTGGAGCTTTGTTCCTGATGGCACTCATGACGCTAACAGCGTTGGCTCTGCGTTCGGTTGCCTTGGGTGGCAGCCAGGCTCCGAGCAAAGCTTGTTGTTGGACGGTTGCGAGTAGGCTCAAGTTTTGCAAGGGCAACTGTGACACGGTACACCTGCGAGCCGCCAGGACCTGGCTATTTTCAATCTGGGCAGACCTGCGCCGGCCGCCCTTGTGTCGCAAAGGCTGCAGGACGGAGCTTGATGTCGGGGCATCGCTTGAAGGGAGTGGAAGGCGTTCAGGCATAGCTGTTGAGTTTCCCATGAGGAAACCGCCGAAGAGTTGATGAATATTCCACGCGAGCATCTCACCAAAATCCTGAATGGACTCGGCGTGCTTGACAATCGCAAGATCACCGACTGCCTGACTCTGCTGTCAACCGAGATTACCTCCAACCCTGCAAAGTTCGGCCCAAGAATCAGCTCCTCCTCTTTCAGCGGTGTGAGCAATAAGTTTCCTAACGCGGAAAAGGCGACTGCGCCAAAGCCTGTGACAGGCAAAGCCCCGGACAATCCCCAGATTCAGCCAGTGTCAAATGCCCCAGCGCAGCTGGCAGCTTTTGGGGCCCAGCTGCAAACAACTTGGCTGTAGCGATTGGCGACTGGCCCGTTTTCCGTCCGGGCAATGCCCGGATTCAGCCAGTGTCAATGTTCTAGATACCCCAGCACAGCCGGGCTCGGTGTGTTCATCGGTGACTGGCAATTAGCCTTACACATTGGCGCTCATCACTGTCATTCTCTGCTTACGCGCTGTACGGTGAAGAATCCCTGATTCAACATCCAGAGGGTCGGCGCGAGAGAATCAATTCCTGTGGCTGAAGCATTGGGTTCCCCGGAGAAGCGGACAAACAGCGACCGTGCCAAAGGTTGTGCTGGAGAGCCTCGTGTAGAAATGCCGATCTTTCAGGCACTTTCAGCGAAGGCGCAGCAGGAAGCTGCTGTTAGCGACTTGGGTTGTACAATTAAAGGGGGAATAGGACTTTAGCGTTGGGCTGGTCCTTTTCACACATGGGAGTCGTCCGAAAGGTGCTCATCGAGGTCACGAAAGTTATTTGGCTTTTCTCGCGAAGCTTTTGTGTAAGGGCGGTTTGCAAAAATAGGAAGATGGAATGATGAACCATGTGTATTTGCCGGCAGTGCGCGCAGAATGCATACAGCGTAAAGTTGGCTGGCGGAAAGCGCGCCTTCAGGGTTGCCGCAAGAGTGCACCGCTGCAAAAACAACCCGCAGCAGACAGCAGCTTGGAGCTTGGAAGCTTTCGGGTCCAGTTGCAACTTTCCAGCCGGATTTTGGGCAATGTTTGGCGAAAGTTTCGCGAAAGTCGATGGGCCTCCCCGCCAGTTTACGGACCTGAGTGGCCAACACTGCAGCACGGGTCGTGAGCTAAAGACGCGGAAGTGCTTCAAACAAGTGTGTTGCTTTGTTGTGAGTCGGGGGGAAAGAGGAAGTTCAGACACTTGACATGTGTTCGAGGAGTGCAGTTCGGCCTCAGGGCACTGGGCCCAAGCGACAGGGGGAATGCCGTGGCTGCATTTTAACGCTCAATTTCCTTGCGCGCCTCTGGACAGGCAAGTTACTTCCCTACAGGCTCGCGTGTCAAAAACAAAGAAGACACATTCTCGGGGTTCCAAGTCGCGGCAAGGATTTTGCGCTGTGGTCTCTGCGGGGGTTTTATGATAATGAAGATGGAAACCAGGGTTTTTCACTACTGTGAAGCGTGAAGCTGCTGACAAGTTGTATGTTAGTGAGTCAGATCCGAAGTGGCTCGGTATCTGGACAGGTTCCGTGCTAACAGCATTTTCCGTGAGATGTGTTGACAGCCAACTTGTTGTTGTTTAGCTGCGCAGTGTCCTGCTTCATGCTTTGTGCAAACTTGTAAGCGAGGAAACATGTTAATGGAACTTGACATGGGTGTTCTTTGGCCGGTCCTTTGGACACCTTGTGGAATTCAGTGGAAGTTTGAAGAAGTCAGCTGATGATGCTCTCGAAAATAAGAACTTTTCTGTCGGAATTCACAAACATAGGGCCTGCTTCTTGGGTTGGGTAGGGCAAGACAAGGGCAAGAGCAAGGGCGAGAGCAAGGGCGCGAACAAGGCAAGGGGCTCCTGTAGAAGAGGGGCAGGGCAAGCAGCTCGAGACCTGCTGACCTGGCTGCTGCAGCCGGCCGAGACAGCGGCAGGCGCAGAGAGCCAGAAACCAGGAGGATTCTGACCATGCCGGTGACGCCGCCGCAAGAAGACGAAACGGAGGCGCGGCGGTGATGAATAGTCGGCAATTTGACGGCCTGCGCGGGAGCGAATGCTATGCTCCAGCCAAAGGCGCAGAGGTTCAAACGTTGGCGCAGTCAGACGCGACTGCGTGCGGCTAAGGGAACTGCGAAGCGTGTCGGATGTCGCCCGGCGAAGCGTGTTCAATCGAGGTGCTGCCGATGGCTAAAAGAATGAGTGAGTGTGGAACACCTGAGGCTAGAGCGCGGGCCAGGGAAAACCAACAGAGCCGCCGCTTCTATCAAGAGCATCCCAGGTGTGTAGAGACCAAGCGGAGCAAGGGTCGGCTTCACTTATTGGACAGTTAGGCCCCTGCTCCGACTGTGCCAAGAAGTAGCGGCGAGTGTGTAGAAACACACTTCCCGCAAGGAGGGGTCGTGCGATGTGTAGCGATGACTCCCCAACGCCTGGATTCCTGCTCCAGAGTGCGCCTGTTGCTGCAAAATCACTTTTGAGAAACCCAGACAATTGCAGGGCGACAGCAAAATCGATAACGGGCAAAAAGACAGCGGCTGCTTGAAGAGCGTGGCCTTTTCAACGTTCTTCTGAATGTCAGAGATGCAAAAAGGTGTTAGGGTTGCGGGCCTCAACTTCTTTGAAACAAGCGCTCCCCCCTCGCGATTCAAATTTTGCAAAGCAAGAAGGAGTAATACAACCCTGTTCGCGTGAGTAAATGCCGTGGACCTGACACACTGGCGCTCATCGCTGCTTTGTTTGTGCTCTGCGCCGTGAGAATTCCCTGACTCGCTGTGGCATGAATGCCCAGATTCAGGCAGTGTCAGATCCCAGCACAGCCGGAACCCGGTGTGATGATCGGTGGCTGGACGTTAACCTTATACATTGGCGCTCGTCGTTGGAATGCTCTGTTTATCCACTGTGCTGCGAAGAGTCCCTAATTCAACATCCAGATGGAGGTCGTGGCTAAAGTAACGGGCTTTTTGGAAAAACAGGCAATTCCGGAAACAGCGATTGCGCCAAGGGCCGTGCCAGGCCTCATCTAGAAATGAGGATTTTCAGGCACTGTCATGGACGTACGGCAGAAAGCTGCTCCTGTTTCAGTGGCGGAAGTAAGGCTTTGCAATGATACAATTTAGAGTGTTTTAATTACCCTGGAGGTCAGCAGGAAGTTGATGTTGTCGACTTGGCTTTGCTGGCCAGCAACTCCTGCCATAGTCACCCTTTTTTCTTCCATTTCCAGACGGATGGTATGGGCGAATCGTTCAAATCCCATCGGGACCAGGATCTATGCTAAAGGAGTGACTCACTGACTACAGCAGACTTGGCGGCCATCCAAGATGGCTACCGCTTTTTGTTGGTGTCGCTTTTGAAGACCGCAAGGCATGAGAAGCGTGCGGGCGCGCGAACATGCGCTCTGTGCACAGCATGTTCCATGGCAGCCCATCATGTCGCACCGGAGGAAAAAGATCTACACTCGCGCATGTGCAGCGCCCGACCAGCAAAACTAGACCAAGTCAACTTGCGGAGTGTGTGCCAAACATGGCAACAGCTGGCTTTTACAGATTGAAACTAGATGACCGAATGAGGAGGGACGTGAAACATGTTGCTGGTGGTTCGTTTCCCCGTGTTCCACATCGTAAAGGAAATGCACGAGGTTACGCTGAACAGAGCCGATTGGGAACACATCTGTTTGTTTAATTGTGCTGTTCTAACGGCTTTCTGGAAGTTTGAACAGGCCTTTGTGCAGATTTCAATCGCAACGCGGACTGTCAGTGACTTTGCCAACGCAATGCAGCATCAACCGTAGGTGGCGCTTGTTTTGCTTTGCCATGCAAACTTCTTTGGCACTCACTCTGCAGAAGCGCTTGAGAATTTCGCTTTCGCAATGGGGTTGCTGCGGGTTTGGAATGCACATCATTTGGGGGTCAACATTGGCAATGGCAGGGAGGGCGAATCTCAAAGACGGAAAAAGCAGCGCAGCATAGCGCAGCCCAACTCCAATGATGCAAGAGCAGGCCGGGGCAAGAAAGTGATTCACAGATCTTGTGATGGCTTGTCCTCCAGCTGAAAACTTACATGTCCAGGAGGAAAAAAGTGACAACCCTGTTAGCACTGTTACTGGGCAAGGGAACTATTAGACTACCCTTATTGGTTTAAGTAATTTTGGGGTTTGGGGGATTTGGCTTCAGCGAAATCCAAATGGGAAGGCGCCCCCGAATCTCCAAACCATCAACCCAAGCCTGAATTGGGCAACGTGAAACTACAGCCTCCGTTGTGGTTGATGGTTTGGCATGTCTTTTCCGTCTTTGTGACAGCCTTGGGGGACGCCTGATCTCACAGCCGCGTTGTGTCAAAGGGGCTAAGAGTGGAGGCTTGCAGTCAATAGCTTGCCGTTTTGCTCCGTCAGCTTGCTTCAATCCTTCTTTCCCTCCAGCTGTAGCGAGCTCAGTCAGCCCTCAAGTGGATGATGCACTTGTTCCACTACTCATGCGCCGTGCCGTACAGCGTGGAACTTGATTGCGCTGGGAGCCTTAATTTGCTTGTAGCATATCACCAAGCCTGAGCCATCTGCCAGTATTGTTTGCCCATCCAATGTAAGTGCGGCAGAAATTTGTCAGGCGCATGTGCGTGCTACAGCAAGTTCCATTGCTTGATTCAGCAAACACACATGAATGAAGCCAATATGTAATGAAAGCATCAGCGAAGATGGATACTGGCGCATTTGGTGAGCTTGCATGCCGGAGTCTCAGCGAGTTGCGGTCTGCTCGTTGCTTTGGACGGGTTGATTGAAGGTCCTTGACGGTGGACCAACTCCTTGCAGAGTCCTCCAGTGATGACGAGCAGCTGGGCCAGGCCGGGAAAACGCTTCGCTCGGCATGAAGCTTGGAGGAGTACAATGCGTGCATTGCGCAAGGTCAAAGAATCGCGGCAAGATGTGGCCGCTGACATGAGTTGGCGTCGTTGACCGATACATTTGTCGGTGTGCCTTTTTCCTCAATCAGCGAAGCATTGGGGTTCTCACTTGAGGTATAGAGAATGGGAACGTGTGGCCGATTCCGGGGTCCTGTTTTGTGCTTGTCTTCCTGTCTCCCAGTCTGGCCAGATGCCAGATGCTGTGACGCCGGCTCCATGGTCGTGTGTCCCGCTTGTCCCTGTCTCTCCCCGTCTCGATGCCAGATGCTGTGACACCGGCTTGTCTCCCTGTGTCTGCCAGTCTCTGCCAGCTGCTGTGACGCCGGCTCGGGGTGGTGTCCCAGTCTCTGCGGTCAGATGCCAGATGCTGTGACGCGCGCAACACCTGTGTCTCCAAAGTCTCTGCGGTCAGATGCCAGATGCTGTGACGCTGGCTCCGGGGTGGTGTCTCCCGCTTGTCTCCCTATTTCTCCCAGTCTCTGCGGTCAGATGTGAGATGCTGTGACGCCGGCTCAGGGGTCGTGTCTCCCGCTCGTCTCCCTGTCTCCCAGTCTCTCCATAGATGCTGTGACGCTGACTGC